GAGGGCAGGCTTTCCATCATGTGAGTAGGAGTGAAAGTTAACTTATTCTATCATAAAAAAAAACGTTAGATAATATGGGCGGCAGTGTAGCCAATTGGTTACATTTTTCGTAACATTTGAAACTGGTGACGTTTTTAAAATCAATTATATTTGTTTGGTGTCAAATATGCCGTTTACCTGGTGTCACATATGCCTAAATTGTATGTGACATGAAAATATATATGTTATATAAGGATATTCATACATGTTTTAGTTAATCTTAACCGCCAATGACAAAAACTAGTTTAGTTAGACTCCAAGCTTATATATTATAGTTTAGTGATATGTTATGAATTTCCACCTTATCCCAATTCTCCTAAGTCAAAGAACATGACTGAACATAATATGCAACTGTGAATCCATACTTAACTGGAATATACAAATAACAGAAGGAATATTTTAATATTTGTTTATTAATTTCAACTGAAAATTAAAGGGCCTCATTGACGCTTTGAGGCGTCATTGGCGCAGCAGCCAAGCACATGTAGGAACAGTAAGATTCTTCTCGAACTCCGCTAGTTTAAAAAACTACCTCCCATTGTACACTATTATTTTTATCCATAGACACTACCTACATTAAGCTTAATTTCTAAACTATGAACAACGTTGAAAGCCGTACAAAAATTGACTAGGATGATTGTTATCAACAACCAGGAATGTTTTATTTAAAAAAAGTACTTATTTATTGATTGTAAGGCGTGATATTATTTTTCTATGCAGGGTTATTTGTAAAAGACTAACAATCTGACAGGGCTATATTACTAATATCATAAACAACGACTTTTGCCCCATGATTTTTAATAATCAATCACATTTTACTCCCGTACAAAAATAAAAAAGATCACTCTGAACGGTGATGATTCTGTGTAAAACGCAGGAGCGCGGGTGACGATCACCGGGGAGGACGCTTGCACTTTTGAACTTATACCTTACTATCTAATACAGACCTAAAAAGTGTCAGGTAGTACAACAAAAACTTACTTGGTTTTTAGTACATATATTACGTTTCGTAAAAGTAATTGTTTACGATGTGTAATTTCCATGACTAACTTGTATTAACAAAATTCTTCACAGAGAAGCCAGAAACTTAAAAATTAAAAACAGAATACGATATTTAGCAATACAGACCTGTGAGGTTGTTAGTATTTCACAAATAAACCTCTAAATGTGTGTAGTCATTTTACCTGTTATCAGGATGGATCTAACAGAGGAAAAACGGGCTTATTGACCCGAGATCTATTAGAGACACGCAAAAATAATAAAAATGCATTAAGATTTTGTATTTGAATATTTTTGTAACCGCAGCAGCCTGATATATACAAGTAATTATTGATTTTTTACAACACTCCACATCTCCCCTAATTAACCGTCGTATGAGTGGTTTTGTTGTTACTCAGTAGATTTAGACGTACGACTATACTTTGAAGCTTTTAAGTTTTCAAAAGAAAACCATCTCAACTAAATGTCGTGTTTACCTTTACTTCATCCCACACTACCTTCCTTATATGCATATAATGATATTTATATACTTAAAAAAGGCAGATATGTTAATAGCGTTCGCGTCGACCATAACGACGAACTTGACATTCAAATTTCAAGAAAAGTGCCGTCATGTGTATTTAAAAAAAGCACCAATTACCATGTTAGACTAAATAAAACACAAAGAATCACATACAATGCGTAAATTAACAAAAATATTTACATTACTGCTACATTATCTAATAAATTGCTAATAGAGAAGGTAAATTATTTCTGTAGCGTCTTATTGTTGTGTTCGCATAAGAACTTATATTCCGATACGAGCATAATAGGCAGTAAAGTCATCGATTACCTGTTCTCATCATGAAATAATTTTTGTATTGTATTTAAGGCTTTTTTGCCAATAAATCTATTTTTTTTTCTTAGAAATAGTAGTAGTTCTAAGGTAGATTTTATTTTACTTGTAAATTTTTTACGTTTGTTTAATAAAAAAACTTGTACGTCTTACCTACTTTTCGAAATGTTCATTCTGTTCCACAAAATCATAATCTATCTCCCGGCAATGCACTTGACGCGTGACAGATTTCAAATGTTGATTACTATGAGCGTAACATATCTTGTTTATAAGATCATTGTATGTGTATAACTCGTTGATAAAACGATATTGTCACGAGCTACATGAAGATGTGAAGTGTTAAACTGAAGATATGTCGCATTGACATATTTGCCTAAAGGTAGTCGACAGTTAGTTAGGTGAGTGAGAGTTACCAGCGGGTATCAATACTGTAACGATATTAAAGGATTTAAAATACTTTCACCTTCTTAACGATTATGTGCCTTCGACTACTTCATTAGTTTGTTTCTTGTCATTACCTTACTTGATTTCTTCGATTGTTTTAATAAAAAAAAAACAAACCCGCTTGTAGCGAAATATCGACAATAAATACGTCGATACAAAATTGATAACAATTTTCTTTTGGTCGATTTTAAAACGGCTAGCTTTGCCATTCTCCCTTTTTTGGGTCTATAAGAACTTTATTGCACAAAAACCTTGGAAGGATCAATAAAAATGGTTGATCCATAGAATCTTCCACTTTTTAAAACTAGAATAAAAATCTATATAAAATACACAAATTATGCAAATGGCGTATTAATGAAGCATAAAAATAAGTACTAAACAATTAAGTGAGCATAATAAATAACAGTATCTTTGAATAATTGGACTGTTTTAATTTCTTTTTAAGGCCAACACGGGTGTTGTCCCCTAAAACTCATTCGTATATTCGTTGGCGCCACATAACTCTTAAAAACAAGTTAATATAGCTATTCCGATATCAAATATGCAGTATTTTATTACCGAAAATAAATAGCTTAAAATAATTTTTGAGCTGAGATGTTACTTTGGACTAAGAAATGGTGGCCTATATAGCTACTTATACTAGTTTTTGACATGAAGATTCATATTGTCGTTGAAATTTCTTTTTTTTTAAATTGCACATAATGGATACAATCACCACATAGTAAAACCACAGAAGTGACATAAGTGGCTTATAGAAGTATACCTACAAAATTAAATTTCGTTCGTGTGCACCAAATTAAATCCTATTGGCATCTGAAACAGTCTATACTGTGCTAAACCCAATTGACGATCGTGCATACAACAATATTCTATGTGTGAATTGCTAAAGTTGACAATTAAAATTGGTACCCAAGATAACGACGTGCAGCGTAGCTCTAACACTTAATTTTCTTTCGATTAATCACGCAGCAACCAATACATTCATATTGCCAAAGAATTTGTAGACGATCACGGAAATTTGTACCAATTACTATTACAATCTATCAAGAATGCGTTACTATGAGTGCGTTTGCCCTATTTATTTGGTAATTTCTTTATCTTTTCGTAGCGTAATTGTATGGCATGTGCCTAACACGGCAAGACTCAAAAGTCAACTTGTCGGCTTTTACTATTTGAACTTTAAATGCTGTCTGTAGTGTGTCTACTTAGTAGATATAATATATCGTCTCTCGCGCACAAATATCATAGCCGTCACCTGAGCGTCAGTCGATAATGGAAGCTCGACGACGTTGGACGTGCTGTTAGCCATTTTCTGTCTAATGTCCATTTGCACTAAACTTAAGTATGTTTTCTTAAGTTAGTGGACATAAGTGGAACACTGGTAAACGGATTTAAAATAATCCTACCTGGTCTAATTTAAAATTGACCAGAATCTCCCAACATTTTGAGATTAGATCAGTTAGGAAGCTACGATACTGCAGTTAAACTACAGATTCGCCATCAAAGTTAACCTTTGTGGGTTAAAAAGATAAAAATGAAATTATTATTTAAGAGATTCACATCCACTTTTTAACACCATGCAATAAATACTACATTGTCTCGTCACGAAAGTATGTAATTACAATTTTGACAGAAAAAATATTTACTTAGTTAAGATACCGAATTTTCTGTACCACATTATATTTTCATTAATTTGTTTTCGGCAAAATTGTAAATTACAGCCTTCAAGAAAGAACGAGATGATTGAAAAAGCTATTTTAAACATAACCAAGTGAAGAGAAACCAGTACTTGAATAAGTAGGATTTCGCTAAATACAAAATATTTGAATTGCTCCCCCAATATTTGTATTATACTGTATTGAGACTTTGGTTCTTTGCACTGAGAATGTCAATTACGGTACAAATGCTAGATATGACTTTTCATTTTGTTGGAATTTTTTAGGGACTCACCACTCTTATCGACCTGAAATCGGCATGAGGCGGTCAGAAAAGCTTTGTCCACTGCTGGACATAGGCCTCTCCCAATGCACGCAATTTCGCCCGGTCCTCAGCTCGTCGCACAACTGTCCTAGGTGCTCATCAAGCCTCAGAGCTCGTGCATTTAACGTTGCCAGTGTCAGTTGTTTGAGGTAGCCCAGTGATTCCTAGCGCCCCATGCCCCGCCGTTACCATGACCGCTGTTGTGACCAGGAATAGCAGGGCGGCCGGGAACTGGGGACCGTTTATTTGTTGCGCTGTCCATTGGTGGGGGTGGTGCCCATAATCTTCACGCTGAGCATGCGGGTTGGAGATCTCAGGAGTCAGATTTCATTTGTACCGCCAACGCTGCAGCCCGTTGGTGATAAGTACATTTGTGTGTCAGTATTCCGGTGGCGGCCAGAGCGTCGTGCAGTTGAGGTTGGTAGGAGCTTAGATGATGATGATTGCTCCCTTATCTATAGATTTATGTCCACGCAATAAAAGCGAAAACGACGTTTCATCTGTGCCAGTGTGATATGTGTGGTAACTTCCTTATTCGCTTTCAGTTTTCTGTTACAACCACGATTTCGAGTGAGATCTGTAGGGCTAGCACGATAGGGCGCAACAAGCGCGACAGCGACATAAACAGCTATTCTCGCATAGAGATCTCGCACATTTTATCGCTCTCGCGCAAGTCGCGTCTTATCGTGCTAGCCCTAATGGTGTGGTTGTTGCCGTAAACGAAATAAACTATATATTTCTCACTTTATTTTCGAGTTGCGGCAAATCTTGCTTCCTGAAGAGGCATAGTTTTAGAGGCTGCGTAAAAATATCGTGAGTCAGCTAAAAAGCAAAAGTGCTGGCTGGAACTTTGGTGAAAATCTACATAAGCCTCGTGAACCAAAAAAGAAACCCAATTAATCTATACGGTGTTAGCATCGAGATCGCGGTGATTGTTGTCTCGTCGCCAGCTAAGGAGCTCGTCTAGGAGAGCGTCTAGGTGCGGATTGCCGCCCAGGCGAGATACCTGCACACACAGAAGAATAAATACAGTGGTGGTTAGTAATAAATATGTATAAATACAATAGAAGTGGTTAGTTAGCGTAAGACGAGTGCCAACTATATGTCTCGAAAGACCTACTTGGGCTCAGTCCGCAATTTTCGCTTTGTATTGTGTGATATATGTATAGTTGTGATATTCTTTCGCACAAATTGTATAAAATCGGAGAAAAATACCTTATTTTGCTATTTTTTTAGTGCAAAAATGATAGCTGCACCAAAAACATTACCCCTACTACGTGTAATATTTTTGGTTTAATATTTCAAATCAACGGTAAGTCATATTTTAATAAATGTTCTATTTTCTGATTATCTATTCGTTCAGATGTTAATCAAGATGGCAGTATGTTGAATAACATTTCAATGTAAAATCAAAACGTCGTAACTTGCAATAAAGGTTGAACTTTCAACGACATCGACCCCTCCTACGTAAAGTATTGTATGTCGAAATTGTCAAGTTTACAGGGAAGCATTTTAAAGTTTTGAATTCACTGAAATGAGCATAACACGTGACTTTAAAATGATAAAATAAATTGTGGATGTTCATCTAACCGATATCTAGGATTTTATAATACTCTATGTGAGTAACAAGCTTTGCCGAATAAAACTGAGAAATACTAAGTCACGTGTTATGCTCATTCCTTGTAAACTTGGCAATTTCAACATACGATACTTTTCGTAGGAGGTGTCGACATAACGATTGGGTAAGGTTTAATTATGTTAACAATCCAGAATTTTTTACATCTTTTTAAATTAGAAACTATGACCAATCATTATCAAGCTTTCATACAGTTCAACATTATGATAGTGTGGGTTTTGGCGACGTTGGTTCCGATATTAATCGAGGCTTACGGCACTTCTATTGTTTTTTCTTCCGTGCAGGCGCACACAGTACATTTATTTCATTTATTGTTGATACAAAGATCAAACAAACACAAAGAAAAATTCCGTCGATCCGACTGGATTCCATCCAGTGACTGTTTGTCAGACCAGGGTTACAGTAGCTGGTTCGCTAGACAGGTTATGTGTGGTTTCAATTAATTTAGCATATGTGAATAAAATTTCTTTAAGGTTCAGTTAATTGAGTTGAGCTTAGCTATAGAAGTTCCCGTTAAAACAAGATTAATTACACGTAGTTTAGTAGCCGTAGAGCCCCTTGTGAAAGAGTTCTTCCAGGGAAGTACTGCCACCTTACCTATTTCTGCCGCCAAGCAGTAATGTAAGCATTGTTGTGTTTGTAAGGGTGCTGGTACAGTTGCGGGCACATGGGACTTGTCAACTTATGTCTCAGTGTGACAGGCACAGTGGCAGTGCCCTTAAGATCTTTGCGATTTAAATCTCTGAGTGGCACTGCAACTGTTATAGATAGGAGTGTCGCTTGCCACCAGTTGGTATCATAAAGATAAATCGAAATATCATTACTTCGTGCATTCAATAATAAAGTGACAAAAATCCAAAAGTAAACATTATTAAGAAACTGACGAAATAAATTTAAATATAACGTACGGAATAATATTTATTTTTCAAACACTTTACTCATATTTGGCGCCAACCAAATGGCACATTTGGCACCAAGCAAATGGCTTATATTGACTTGGTGCCACTTCTTTGTTTTAAATATTTTATCAGTTTCCAATTTCGTCGTTTAATTATTCCGCTTTATGAGTGCGACTTGTTCTTTATTTACCTCAGCACGTGCTTCGCAGTCGAGTCGGTGCAACGTCTCTCGCGTATAACGGAAACTACCCAATCGCTCTAATAAAGAGATACAATAACGTTTAACTTCCACGTCACGCGTGCGTTGGCGGAGGATATCTGTAGTGCAGCGATAAGGGAATATAATTTTTAACATACTTCAAAAAAAGGAGGAGGTTCGTTAATTCGACTGTATTTTTTTTTATTTGGTATGTTACGTGATAACTATTTGTGAACCGATTTTGATAATTCTTTTTTTTATTGGAAAGAGGGAACCTCGTTGGTTCCATTTAAATTTAAAGAAAATATTCCACCTCTAAGTGTGGCAAACTAGGGAATGAATCCGGTTGCGTGCACTTTCCTGCCGATTTCAATAAAGCTTGGCAAATAGATGTTACTTCACGAACTTTTCAGGTCAGTTTTTTTATGAAAAAGTTACAATTATTTAATACTAGCTTGTCATTTCCTGTCAGTGATTCAAACCCCTTAATATCAAAACTGGAAGCTGTTCATTAATACGGGGACAAGAGTAAAATTAGAAAACAACCTTTTTTAAATAATTTCATTCGGAATCCAAGGTGAAGCGAAAAAGCTGCTTTTATAAAGGATACGAAGCACTTGGTTCTGGTTTTGATCTCCATCCTGATTCCTAATGGCATGGATGATGGGGAAGCTGAACTTGCCTTCCGTCAGATCCTCGCAGTAGCTTTTGTTCTCCGAGTACTGGAATCATAAAATAGTATATACGAAAGCATTCGAGAGCATATAAATCTTGAAACTCAGGTTAAATTTGAAAAGTTTTGTTTCATATTCTATAAAGAGCATCACAAAGCATTTCTTTCAATATAAAAAACATAAGAACTCGATAAATAGTTTTTTTCTCGTGACTTAGACTTATAATATTTGTGAGTTATGGTACTTGAAACTCTTTTACAGAAACCGTACATTGGCTACAAATTATTGATTTTTTCTTAAGCAAATTTAAATAATAGATTAAGTAAAAAAAAATAATACCTCTTGTAAACATAGATTACAGTAGTCATCCCTAATTTGAAAGTAGAGACCTAAAATTGCAGACAGCTTGCTGAAGTTCGATTTGTTTTCGCTGAACAGCTGCATTAGCCTGATGGCCAGCATAAATAGACCTCCCGTCTCTGTAGGATTTCATAAAATTATTAAAATCGTCTCTGTCCTGGGTCTAAGTATGATGGTTAAATAAATTATTACTGAAATCTGCAGAGCATCCACAAAGAAAAATATTTGGAGTCACTTGCAAAACTTTCATATTATTACATTTTATTATGCACCATATATAGGGCCTCTCACGGTTATAGAACACGGAGGGAAAATATTTTAAATATTGTGGATAGCACATTTTGCTTCACAGAGACATTACTTTATTTTGAAAAGTTCATTTTTAGGTAATAAAAGAAGCACACTTTATTTACTTTATATTTTTGTTAACTTGCTTATTGGTATGGAGTAAATGTTATTAAAAATATGGAATTAATAATACCTTTTGTAAACAGCTCTATACAGTTCCCACGGAAATCACAACAAAACAACAACATAGTACGTTGTTCAAAATTCAAATTACTACAGATTTTACACCTAATAATTAATGAGCATGGAAATTAATATTCGTGGGCATTCGGAAATCCGATGATTGCCGAGAGACATTGAGAAAATAGAAGCACTGTAATTGAAAGAATTTTTAAGTTGCTTGGCTCATCTGGGAATCGAACCGATCATTTCTTTGATGTTTTTTTTTGTCAAAATACTTTCCCTCCGTGTCCGATAGCGGTGGGACACGGCTGATTGTATTTTTAAATTAAGAAGTATTTTGAAATATACTTAAATTGTATAAAATCTTACTCTTAATTGTCATCTCTCTGTACTCCTCCTCGGAAGGGCATTGGAAGTTATCGCGCCAGTAGATCTCCATACCCTGTCCTCGGTGCAGCTCCAGAAGCTGCTCGGTGTATACTAACGTCGCCTGGAATTTAAGACGCATACTTTATATTTCGATTGTGAACTGGCAACCGGTACTTTCTCAATTTTGACAACTTTACACAACGAAGCAAAAAATTGTTTACGTCATTTATATAGCATCTGGTTTATTTAATAAAAATACGTAGTGTATGTGTAATAAAAATATTTAAAAACTAGTATTTTTATTTCATAAACCAGATACTATTACATTGCATCAATTTTTTTCTTCACCTGTAAAGTTGTCGAAATTTAGATACTACCGATTGCCGGTTCATTGTCGATTTATTTTATTAAGGCGAATCGTCTCGAACGGATTCATAATTTAAACAAGTCTCTACTTATTAATGATTTCGTTAAATAAAGAAACGGAAAATAAAGAGGAGGACAAAGCTTTGAAAATGACATTAAGTTATATGATATTATTATTGAGAAGTTTAGTTAGATGTAAAGGAATGGCATCTGCGGAAAGTAAAAAATAAATTTACATATTATTATGGCAATTAAATCGTGTAATAAAGAGGTTTTATTTATTACAAATTTTGAAAAGATTTTTATGAAATCGATTCAAGAGCATACGATCCGATCCGTGGATGATCCATTACGATTCAAAAAATCGATTTAAAGCAAAATATCGTGCAACCCCGTCCAAACTTAAAAAAAAACAAGCGCGTTCGAAGCTCGTCTGTCGTCGCGTTGCAAGGCTGGTGAAAGGGGCGGGGGAGGGGAGCGTGCTCACGCCACTCGCTGTTGTCTGTATCGCCTAAGCGCAGATAGCGCGAAGTTTCGTCAACGCGCGTTTACGACGTCACTGAATTTATGAACAAAGTTAGAAGATTTACTGGCTACGACTAAATCTCGTTTGAATAGCGTTAACGCGCGGAAAGTGTGCCCAAAACTTTGCCTGATTGTTCTTCTGA